ACCCTCCCCCTCCCCGTGGGGGGCACCTGCCCCACAGCAGGGAGGGCAGATGTGGGGCAACCACACAGCTCTCCCCCCTATACTGAGGGGCAGCCCCCCCATAACAAGCTGCCTCACAGGCAGGCTAAAGATATCTTAAATAGGTCCCCTACACCACCACAGAAATGGGGTGCTGGGGGGGCCAGCTCAGTCCAGGGGCGTTAGCCCCAGCTTGCAAGCAGCAACAGCACCCCAAGTCCCAGCGGTGCCAGGGGGCCAGGGGCATGACTGCGGGGGTCAGCAGGCACCTGGCAGCTGCTGCCCTGCCAGCCCTGGTAGCAGCGGCAGCGGAAGTGGGTCCGTAGAAAGAGGGTGTCAGCAGAGGACAGCTGGCCCTCGGCCCAGAAGAGGGGGCGCTGGGGGTGGTCCCCATCGCGGTGCCGCAGCTGGAAGCTGGTGGAGTTGAGGTGGAGGAAGACATCGGCAGTGCTGTCCTGGCGCAAGCAGCGACCCCGGCCCTGGCACAGCACCGTGCTGCAGAGCTGTGCTGCTGTCGTGACGTTTACGATGTAGCGGCCCAGGTCGCCCTCCAGGTAGTTCTTGAGGATCTGGCATGAATCCTGGGGGAAAGGAGCGTCAGGGGCATGTTGAGGTGCCCCAGGGAGAGAAGCAGAAGCACCCCAGATAGAGAGGACACCCCAGCCTCAAGACACCGGTCCTCCTCTGGGAGCAGGTGACACCACCCCCCACCCCCATCATCTACCTCCCCAGGGGCACACTGACCCCAAACCTACCCGGTTTTTGGTGTAGTCTGCATCACCCCAGAAAATGGCCCCAGCTGCACCGAGCGCCGCACTCTCTCCGATAGTGGAGATCAGGTCAGGCTGCGGGGACAGAGCCTGGTTACTGCCCACAGACCCCACACTGCACCCACACCCCCAGCACAGCGTGCTCCAAATCGCTCACTGTGGGGTCAGGGAGGGAAGAGCCATCCCTGCTCCAGACCACAGGGAGAGGGGACTGTCCCAGCTCCCCTCCACCACCCTCCTCCTTGGGGGCTAAGCCAGCACAGCACAGGGGCTGTGGGCTCATATATCTCAGGGTCTCTTGGCTGCCAGGACCCAAGAGACATGTGATACCTCCCAGGCTCTTTCCTGGTGATGGTCCTGCTGCCAGACACCTTGCCCATAAGGGGGTCAGTTTGTGGAACCCCATCACCCACCCACAGTGGGGCTGAGCTGGAAGTCCCCATACTGTAAACCCCACTTGGAGGGAGGCAGGCAGGGCTGGGCACCCCTCCTGCTCTCTGGGCCCAGCACCATACCAAAAAGTGCTGGCTCCCCACCCCACCCAGAGACAGTCAAACCATGGGGTGCCAGCAGCACTGTGGGGGTGGACACCAGCCTCCAGAACCACCCTGCTCCAGCGGGGCACAACGGGACATGGGCAGACCCCAGAGCCCAGGCACCCGGCACTTAGGACAAGGACGTCCCAGTGGCACAGCCCTACCTGGCTGAGCACGTCCAGCTTGCGGATGTATGTGGGCCGGGTGTAGACAAAGACAGGCAGGGAATAGCCATCATGGTGCTGCTGCGAGATGCGCATGGCCTCCATCACCCGCGCCCGCACGAACTTGCGGCTGTTGGGGGTGGAGGCCAGGAGGACGTCGAGGTAGATGGAGGGGTAGAGGGCCATGCTCTCCCTCCAGAGCCACGCCAGCTGGTCGTTGCGTGTCTTCTCCACATCTGGGCACTGCCCCGTATAGCTCTCCTTGTTCTTGCTGTAGTCATGGTTGTAGCAGTCGGGGAAGAGGTAGAACCCCCAGAGCTGCTTAGGTCGGAAGCTCTTGGCCATGCGCAGGGTGCTCACCATGAACTGCCGGGCGGCCGACTCAAACTCGAACACGGCCTGCTTGTTCACCTCCTCGGGGGACCAGGTGGGCTGCCGCTGGTACACCAGCTGCTGTGACACCTCCCGGTAGACGTCCTTGGGCTTCCAGTTGCGAGCCCAGATGGGCCGCCACTCCTCCCAGTCGATGACGGCCAGCCCCTCCTTGGCGGGCGAGCGGATGTACTTGCTGATGCCCTCCTGGAGGCGGGCGAGGTGCTCGGACAGGCTGCTGTTTTGGGGGACACCACCGTTGATGGCCACGCGCTGGCTGGTGTAGTAGGGGTAGAGCCCCAGGCGCTCCTTGTAGAAGATGGTGAGGTTCTGCCCCACAAAGCCCTCGTTGGGGGAGGCGTGCAGGTCAAAGAGGCTGAAGTCGAAGGACACACGGAAGCGGGGCTTGCAGTCCTGGGTGGGCACGTTCCAGGCCACCAGGAAGGGCCGGCGGGTGAGCAAGGGGGCAGCCGACGGCTTCTCGGGGGGCTGCCGGGCCAGGGCCAGCAGGGCTAGCCAGGGCCTGTCT